AAGGAAGTCTCAACACTCCCTAATTTACTATATGACGTATATTTTATAATGATAAAAATATGGTAGCATTAGAGAAGAATTCTAGAAAGAAAAAGATGAATAATTCTACTAACAAAAGTTGCTAAAATTTTCCATGTTTTCTTCTACTCTTTGATAAAAGAGTCAAATGTATTTTTATTGAAATCAGGCAAAGATTTTTTGCATTCTGCCTTTTCCCTGCTGGACATCACTTCGTAAACCTCTCTGACGTGCTATGTAGCATGCAAATTTGCAAGATTTAATGACATAGCATGGTTCAAGTTTACAAACCACACACCATAATTTGTTTAACCACCTTCTCATGTTTAAACCTTTTGCAATCTTTTGATTTACCCCGTTTGTTATTGGTTACAAGGCAAAGAACACCTTTGTATACAGAGCTTTCCCCCTCCCTCTTTTTAACTGACTTTCTTAGAATTCCTAGGAAAGAAATGCTTTATCTTCCTTCCACCCCTTCAGACTCGGTTCTCTCTTTCTTTACTCCTATAACCTCTTGCTTCTTCAGTCATTTTGCTTAGCCTTTTGCCTTCCCTGACATAACTGATCTCTCTCAGTTGACTCTCTCAGTGGTTCTTTAGGTGCTGAAAAAGCCCTTTTGCTGTTTAGATTCCAGTTTGACCTCACCATTCCTCTGGGGGTCCAACTTTCTGCAGTACATTGTGAAGGCTGCTTCTTGCTCTCATTTCTTAATTCTTCTCTCAGCACAGGGTCCACTCGACTCCTACTCTGAGATTAAAGTCTGCTAGTGATCTCTGGGATTCCCCGGTGGCTCAGATGGTAAAGAGCCTGCAATGTGGGAGACCTGAGTTCGATCCCTGGGTTGGGAAGATCCCCTGGAGAAGAAAATGGCAACCCACTCCAGTATTCTTAGCCTGGAAAATCCCATGGATGGAGGAGCCTGGTGGGCTATCGTCCATGGGGTCACAAGAGTCAGACCCTTCACTTTCACGTTTAGTGATCTCTTTGGAACTTAGTCCAAAGGCTTTTTTTTTTTCTTGATTTTTATCTCCCTCTGTAGCTGTTACTCTGAAAGGTCCTTCGGGTCTTTTTCTTTCCCTGCATGTCTCCATTCTTGGTTTAACTCTTCCATGGAACTTTCTCTAAGGATTGAGATAAAATCACCTCTTTTGAGTCCACATTCTACCCAGACATAGCTCATTCCCTTTGCTCCAAACTCTACTTTGCTCCAATCTGAGTTGTTTTGCTCTCTTCTGAATGAAGATGAAGTTAAAGAGGGAACAGTTAAAAACTTGCAGCCAAACAACATTCATTGAGAGTTTTCTACTTACAGTTTCAAAATAATAAATAAATTTTGAAATAAATTTAAGGACCATAGGTCACTCTGTTCCACGAGCAAAAGGTCTCCAAAGTGAGGTCTACAAGCATCAGGGTCACCTGGGAGGCGGCTGTTGCTGCCGTTCAGTTGCTCAGTCATGTCTGACTCTCTGCGACCCATGGACTGCAGCACGCCAGGCTTCCCTGTCCATCACCATTTCCCAGAGTTTGCTCAAACTCGTGTCCATTGAGTCAATCATGCCATTCAACTATCTCATCCTCTACCACATAAGTTCCACCCCAGACCTACTAAATCAGAATCTAGACTTATAACATGATCTCCAGGTGACTCACATGTACGTTAAAGTATGAGAGGGACTTCCCTGGTGGCCCAGTGGTGAAGAACCCACCCGCTAATGCAGGGGACACAGGTCGGGAGAATCTTACGTGCCATGTGACAGCTAGGCCCTTGGGCCACATCTACTGAGCCCGGGCCCTCCAGAGCCTGTGCTCTGTAGCAAGAGAAGCTACTGCAATGAGAAGCATGCACACCACAACAAAAGGCAGCCCCTGTTGTGCAGCAACGAAGGCTCAGCACAAAAATACATAAATTTTTAAAAAGTATAAGAAGCACCAATATAATGGACCAGTCAGTGCGTATCACTAAGAGTCTCTACCAAAAGTGCTCCATGCACCCCTTGGGAACCTCAAACCAATGATTTTTCACCTAAAGTTTGCTGTGAGGGTGGTCTTGCTGCCACAGCCATCATCTTTTGATGGACAGGTGGCTAGGTGGATGACCTCTTTCCCTCATCATTTTAGGTACAAGTTCATCCCTCTGAAGCTGCAAAAGGGTTTGAAGAGGACATTCTCTCCCAGGAAAGGAAGGCTGTTTTTCAACAAAGAGCATAAATAAGCTTATAGGCTCTTTGGTAAGGTGGACACACCTGCCAGGGATTGGAAAAATGGTTTCTATCATCTTTTCCAACAAAAAAACGCATGTGAACAGCATAGAACCAAAAGACGAGAATAGTTTATACTCTTCATTCTCTCATTCAGCAAATATTAAGCACCTACTGTGTGCCAAGCACTATTCTAGGTGAGAAGAGCAGAGACAGAACTGACAAAATCCTTGCCTTAATGGAATTTACATTCTAGGGGATGGAGATGGACAAGAAACAGGTATAAAATATGGCAGGTAGGGGTAACACTTTAAAGAAAAAAATAGATATTTGAGGGGAAAGAATCCCAAGCAGAGTCAGCGGCTAATGCAAAAGCCTTGAGGTAGGAACATGATTGGAGTGTTCAAGGAACAGCAAAAAGCCAGTAAAGTGTGGTTGGAGCAGATTAAGCAAGGAAGAGAGTGGAACCAAACCACAGAGAGTCTCTAAGGAGCTGGCATTTTATGCCAAGTGAGACAGAGCCATTGCAGGGTATTGAGCGGAGGAGTGATATAACCTGACTGACATTCTAACGGGCTCTCTCTCTCTCCCTCTGCTGTGTGGGGAACAGACTCTAAGGGGACAAGAATGGAAGAAAGAGGCCTACCAGCAGGCTGCTGTAAGGATGTGGCTGGTTTACATTTGGTTGGTCACAGTGGTGGTGGTGATGAAAAAAGGCTCAAGGATTTCAACTTCTCTAACAAAGACAATTTTAAAAGTTATCACTAGACAACTTTTTTCTTTCTTTTTTTTAATCTTGGATGGGAAACTGGCTTAGAAGTAGAAAATAAAAAGTAGGAATATTAATGGCTTCTCAGGGTTGAACAATGTTAATGGCATCCTCTGGGAATCAGTGTTATTTAACATTTCATAAATGATTAAGAAAAAGGAATACTTTGAGACTTTTCTAGGTACACAAATTATACTCTGCTTTCCACATAGTGAAATGTCAAGTCAATTGGGAGTGTCTCTTGGAACATTTCTAAAGCTATATGATTAGGCTGGAAAGTGGCAGATGACTTGCTATGCGGACAACTCTAAAGCTGTTCACATAGGAGGAGATAATTCAGGTGACATCTTTAAGATAATGAACTCTGGACTGCCAGCTGCCCCCAAGGAAAGGGATCAGAAACTGCTGTAGGTTATTCCTTCAAGACATCAGCTCTTGTAAAATCCAAAATGCCAGTAAAAGTTCTGGTGGTTTCAGAATAATGACAAAAACCTCAGCTTCAACAAAAACCTCAGGAACTCCCTTATGGATCTCAGTATGCAGTGCTAGTCACTGCATCCTATGAAAAACAACAGCCAAGGAAAGGTCACTAAAATGATTAAAAGGATAGAGGGACTTTTGTTTGATGGGGGATATGTCTATAAATATGAATATCTGAGACAAAACAAGATGAACGTCTACAAAAACATGAGACATTCAGAGAAAATTAAAATAGCCCTTTTCATGAAATCTCGTGATTGTGAAATTAGGGGACAAAACAGCTTAAAAATGGGGGTAATGTCTATGAAGAAAGAGGCCATTAGTGGGCCTATTAAAAAAGGTCCTTTAGACCTTCCAATATGTGGAAGGACTGTGCTAGCGATAACCAGGAGCCGGGAATGAGGAACAATCAGCCCACTTCAAGAGTCCTTTGATGGGACAGAAACTACTTTGGACTAGCATGCGCTGCCTGCCCCCCCCACCCCCCGCCCCGTCCCGCCCCCGGCCCCCCATCATTGTGGTATACAAGGACAGAAACTCAAAAAGGGCAAAAAACGCTGACAAGACTTTCAAAGGATTCAAAATGCTAATATTAAATCTCATTCTAAGTCAAAACTAGATCGAAAATAAAATCAAGGGTGAAGATTTTTAGTAGATTAATAAGGGATTAAGGATGTCCATTGGCGGTCTGAATTGGATAGATAAAAGAAGAATATTTCCTGAACAGTTTGTCCGCATCTAGGTTCTCTTGGTCAGAAAGTGACGGTTACTGGTTGAAACAGAGATTTGATCATCTGAATTTCAGGCATGGCACAAGTCCTTTCACAGGGATCAATTATCTGAGGAGAGAGAGGCTCTTATGAACCAACCGTTAGTCACGTGTTGTGTTGAACAGTTAACAACGCTGGACCGTCGGGGTCAGTTATTGATTTTCCTCCACCGATTGAAAAAATCAGAGTCCGAACGGAACGAGGGTAGTGGGGCGGATAATAACCAGAGTGTCGTTGAATTGGGAGATGTTAAAAATGGGCAAAAACCAATACATGGGCCCTTATATTTAGGTCAAAGATTTATATACATAAATATATATTCTTTCTCTTTTCAAAAAACATTTGACTCAAGACCTCATCACTCCCAAAGAAAACAGCACCTTCTCCTTCTTCCCATAGGTCGCTTTCTTTACCTGCTTCTTCCCCGGCCCTGGCGAAGTAACTTTCAGCCCCGCCTCCCAGTTCGTCCAAGCTCCGCCTTCTAGGTTCACCTGTGTGCCCAGCCCCTGACGTCACTGTTCGGCTTCAGCGGCCTGCAGGATTCTGGCTCCCGATTGGTCCGTCTCTCACAGCCTGCGCACCCCACCAATGGCAGCGGCGGTGGGTTGGGGGGTGCCCACATCCAAGATGGCGCCCCCGGGAGCTGGGAGCGGGTGACCGGCAGCGGGGAAGCGGCCTGAGCTGGCCCTGCGATTGCGGGGTCCTGGGGGCATTTCGCTGGGTAACCCCCTGGCCCGCCTACAAGGCCTTCTCCGGGCCGGAGCAATGGCCGCCGAGAATAGCAAGCAGTTTTGGAAGAGGCGCGCCAAGCTGCCGGGGAGGTGAGCCCAGGACGCTGAGAGGAAGAGGAGATTGGACCAAACCCTTCTAAATCCTAAGCACTAAATTCCGCGGGCCTGGGGCGCCAGCGATCCAAGAATGCTGGTTTGGAGAACCTGGGCGTGGGGCGGGGGGGGAGCTGGGACTGCCTGGTGGCGGCAGGACGGCTGTCAGGCAAAGGAGTGGGCGGCGAGCTTTGCAGATGGTTGGGTGTGGGAGCAGACCCTGGTCCGGGGGCGTCGGGCTCTTGAGGGGCTTCCCTCAGCCGGGAGGTGGCCGGAGTTCGCGCCTAGGGGGCAGTGGAGTTGGGTGAGTAATCAGTGTTGGTTCTGGGTTTGGAAGGCTATCCTCAGAGGTGCTTCTCACTTAAAACAGAACTCCTCCTTGAGGGGGCGGGGGTCTTCACCACGCACAGGTGGTTGTTTGCACGAGGATGGTCCCTTCACTTGCTCCCCCACTCCTGCACGTACGACTTTTTCTTCTGGACTCCTAGAAAGGTTCTGGTGGGAGCTTGAAACCGTCTGCGGGGGTGTCGGGGGGTGGACAGGAAAAGTGAGGAAAACTCTTCAACTCCAACTTAAGATATCACTTAAGATATCTTGAGTTGGTCCTTTCCCATTAGGAATTATTAAAGGGTAACTTAGCATTTTCTAAGGATTTGTCATACCCCAGTGGCCTCTTCTCCTCTGCCTGGTAGTGTACTTCTTGTGCAAATGCATTAAATTCTTTCATTCTAGAGTTGTTTAGGTGGAGAACAGATTATTTCTAAAATAATCTCCAGTCCCGTCCCACCCCTTTTTGGTATACGTTGAGACTTTTAACAATTGTCCATTCATCAGTCTACTGTTGGTTTATAGTTTCAGTTTGTTTAGTGCTGAGAAGTAAAAGGAGGAGTGTATATTTCAATCTTAAATTTAAGATTTTGGCCAGGCACAGTCTGTTTGATAATGAAATTCATGATTGATTGTACCCCATGTGCTACCCTTCCTAGCTGATTGATAAAGGGATAATCCTTTAAACCTGTAGCTTTTTTGGTTTGTTTTATCAATAGCAAGAGAGAAATCAGGGTCAGTGGTGGCTATATAGTGGACTTATTTATTGATAGGATCCTGTTAGACAGTGGGGGATCAGTTTTTCTTAATATAGTAAAAAAAAATAGGGTAAGGGAATTCAGAAATAACTTCAGATTGAAATATGGAATAACAGTGCTAATGCTAAAGACTTCTATGTTTTTAGATAGGCACCACTTCCTGCCTACTGATTCCTTTTCCTTCCTGGTCTAGGGAGCTCTCCAGTCTGGCTAACTGCTGTTCTCCGGGGTTTTCCATGGTGAGATCATTAAATTTTGACATCAAAAGTGATCATCAGAATCTATGGGAAAACTGTTAATTCAGGGAGCAGTATTTGAGGTGTGGGACATGGCATAGTCTTTTTGTGCCTACCAACTGCTGGTTGTTACTAACAGTTTTTATTTTCTATATTTCCCCTTTTGGATTGTAGAAGCAGTCATCTTTTTTGCAGAGCACTATTTTTTTGTGAGATAGGAAGAGGAGTCTTTTCAGTTTCTTCAAGTTTGTGGCTTCCTTTTTCATTTTGAAGAGGAATATGAAAGGATAGAGGAGAGAACATTTGAGTTCTGAAAGCTTTGGATTATTATTGGAGTGTTATCTGTGTGAGCAAGGACAATTAATCTCTTTAAGCCTCAGTTTCCTTATCTGTGAAAAGAAGATATAAATACTTTCTTCAGGATTCCTGTGTGGATTGAATTAAACATCTTATTTGTGAAGAACCTAAAACAATGTTTATTTATATTTAGCACATTATAGTTGCTCAATAAATACTAGTTATTAATGTTTCTGTTATTGTTAGAGAAAGTATACATTTAAAAGAATGTTTCTCTGATCCTTATTCCAGTAAGAGGTATTTATGTTTATTGTTTATCTTAAGACATTAAAATGTTGCCATGATTCATAATGGTTTTTAGTACCTTGCTTGTTGAAGAGAAATATTGCTCAACTATGTGCTTTTAGCAAGGAAGCCCTAGGAGCCCTTGATTATGGGAGAAAATAAAAAAGTGCTTTGATGTAAGGAAAGTATTAGTACATTTTCTCAAGAATAGAACTTTTGCATTTGTACTCTCTCGGTCATAATGAAGAAAAACTTTGTCTGGGTGGAGCAGTGACACAGATAACTGTCTCGGTCCATGGCAACTTAGAAGTGGGGCTAGCTTCCTCTTTGCAAACTGAAAGGTAAAAATCCAGAATGATAGCAGATGACTTCCAGTTTCTTTGATCATGATCCAGCAACCTTAATTACAGCAAATAGGAATTTTATGTAGTAAAATAGCCTCAAGTTCAAAACAAATTAAACATCCTTTTGTGAAATAACAGCTTTATTGAGATAATTCACATATCATAAAACTTTACCCTTTTGAAGTATATAACTTGGTGGTATTTAGTATATTCATCTAGAGTATAAATGGTTTTGTGCAGCCATCAACACTAATTTCAGAGTATTTTCATCACTCCGAGATGAAACCTCATATCCATTAGTAGTCACTCCCCTTCCCCCCCACTCCCTCTGGCCCTTGGCAACCACTGATCTTTTGGTTTATATGGATTTACCTATTCTGAACATTTTGCATAAATGGTATAATGTAGTAAGAGGCCTTTTGTGACTGGTTTCTTTTAGGTGTAGTGTTTTCAAGGCTCATTCTTGTTGTGGCATGTATCAGAATTTTATTCCTTTCATGGCTGAATAACATTCCTTGTATGTATGCACCTCGCTTTGTTTATCCATTCGTTGGGTGATGGACATTAGAGCTGTTTCCACTTTTGGGCTCTTATGAATAAAACTGTGAAATCTGTGTGCAGGTTTTTTTGTGTGAAAGTATGTTTTCCATTCCTTTGACTATATGTAGAAGTGGAATTGCTTCATATAGTAATTTGATGGAATTAAACATCTTTATAAGTGTTCTCAGTTATTCATAAGAGCCCCATGTGCTTAATATATCAAATGGTCCTTGTGTGGATGCCTAGGAAGGCAGGAGGCAGTATGTACCATGTGGTTAAAAATACAGGCTCTGGAAACTTGAAACTAGTAGATAAATTAAGTTCTGGAGACTTAATGGACAGCATAGTGATTATAGTCAACAACACTGTATTATAATCTTCAAAGTTGCTAGGAGACTAGCTCTTAATTGTTCTTACCACAAAGAAGAAATGTTCATTATGTGACATGATAGAAGTGTTAGCCAGTGCAACAGTAGTAATCATATTGCAGTAGAGCTGTCCCTCAGTGTCTGGGAGGGAGTTGGTTCCAGGACCCCCTTGGATACCAAGATCTGCAGATGTTCAAGTCCTTTATATGAGGTGCATATCTATGGATTTTCATCCATCCACAAATTCAACCAACTGTGGATCAAACTTAGAGAGACTGTAAGTGTACCAAACCAACAGAATGTACATCTTAAACTTACACAAGATTATGTGTCAATTATATCTCCAAAAAGGGAGAAAACATGGAAAAGAATGCAAGCTCTGGAACCTGACTGCCTGGTTTCAAATCTCAGCTCTGCCGCTTTCTGTGTGACCTTGGGCAAATTACTTAACCTCTTGGTGCCTTAGTTTCCTCCTGTAAAATGAGGGCAGAGTGAGTACCTTATAAGGCTGTTATGAGAATTAAATGAGGTAATGCATAGAAAGTGCATAGAAAGTACTCAATAACATAAGCCATTATGAAAATGCTAGTTGTGATTACAGTAGCTTCTATTTTTATTTGTTTCTCCTCCTTGCTCTAGTTTCAGAAACTTGAATTGAAGAACTTTGATCAGTGGCATGTCTGGAGCCCCCCAGTGAGTCCTGGGTGGAAAAAATACTGCCTGTTGTTAATTAGGCAGAGGGTTTATGGGAGCACAAAAGAGCCTAATGCAGGGTCACTGTGACTGCCAGAGGTTTATTAGCAATGAGGGGTATGATTTTGAGCAGTACTTCTCAAACTTTAATGAGTCACCTGGAGGGGCTTGTTAAAACATAGATTGCCAAGCCCCACTTCTGAATTTCTAATTCTGCCCATCTGAGGTGGAGCACCAGAAGTTGAGTTTCTGAGAAATTCCCACAGGGTACCACTCCTGCTAATCTGGGAGCTGCACTTTGAGAACCACTGAGAAAAGAGCCTTGAATTAGATTGAAAGAAACCTGATTTCTGATGCTGGATGCTTTTCCCCAGTGGATATTGAACCATTTTTTTTGGCCACACCGTGTGGCCTTGGGATCTTAGTTCCCGGATCAGGGATCAAACTTGTGCCCTCTGCAGTGGAAGCATGGTGTCTTAACCACTGGACTGCCAGGGAAGTCCCTGGATACTGAACAATTAATGCATCTCTGTTTTGCTGTCTAATAGCATCTCTCACGTAATGCATCCAAGCAGAATTTTTGATTTCCACCATTTGCCCACTCCTGCAAATCTACTCTGTCCAGTCTCACGTAAATGGTCCAGCCATTCACCAAGTCCCTCGGACCAAAAATCCTAATGTCTTTCATTCTCTTTCTCTTCCTGCTACATCCAGTTCATTAACAGGTTCTGTGTTGGCTTGTTAGAATATATCCTGAATATGAGCAGTTCTCATTACTTCTACTCCCTACTTCCAGGATCAAACTGAGTCCTCTCTTGCCTGGACCACTGCTGTACCTTCTTCATTGGTCTCCTTGCTGTGAGTGGGGGCTTCCCTTGTGGCTCAGCTGGTAAAGAATCTGCCTGCAATGCGGGAGACCTGGGTTCGATCCCTGGGTTGGGCTGTGAGTGGAGTCGGTACCCCTCACCCCCATTGTTCAAGTCAGCTGTAGTTAAGAGTCTGCTGCAGTTAGTACAGGGATAGGCCATGAGGTCTTTGACTGGGGTAATGGCAATAAAGGACAAGTTTGGGACTTGGTAAATTACTGGATTTGGGGAGTGAGGGAGAAAGAGGGGCTTGAAGGGAGGTACCCTCAGGTTTCTGGCTTAG